CCTGTTGCCAAGCCTGGTGGCCTGAGTTAGATCTCCAGAAGCCACATGGTGGAAAAAGAGAACCAACTTGCTCAAGTTGTCCTCTGAGCTAAACACACACACACACACACACACACACACACACACACACACACACACACACACACATTTATTAATGTGCTGGTCAAGGTAAGGGAGATGGAGACAATAGAGCAGTGAACTTGAACTTGGCCGCAGCCATACAACTCTACACATCAATGAAAATAATGAACAGCTCTGTGATGACTGACACCAAAAGCCCTCTAACAGACACTGACTGGGAACACAGAAACGCCACAAGAGTGTGGCCACAGACACTAAACCACAAATACATTACATACTATTTCCACCCAAATAACTACACACAATTTTAATGCTTTTATGCATCAGGTTTTTAAAAGATCTAATTTACACTTTTAAAATATTATAAAAAATCTCTACAAACAAGAAGTTACACATTTTTAATATTTATTTAAATTTTTGATTGTGTGTTTGTGTGTCTATGTGTGTGCACATTCGAGGTGCAGGTGCCCATGGAGGCCGGAGGAGGACATCAGATCCCCTGGAACTGGAGTTACAGATGTTTGTGAGTGGCGTAATGTAGGTGTTGGGACTCGAACCCAGGTTCTTGGAAAAACAGCCAGTACTGCTGACCACTGAGCCAGCCCTCCAGTCCCTAGACATGCAATTACGCATTAAATCTGAAGGTGGTCTGAAGGGCACTCTGACGTGGTAAAGAAGACCAGCTGTGCTCAGGACCGTCCCCTTGGACCGTCCCTTCAGGACCGTCCCCTCGGACCGTCCCGAGCCGCCTCCCTCCACTCCTCTCTTCCCTCCTCCCCTTTCTTACTAACCCACTCTGTTTTTTTTCTTTCTTTCCAGGCTGACCTCAAATTGGTTTCTGACTGCTGATTTCTGTGATTATAGGGATGTGCCCTCACATCCCAACAAGGCTTCCACTCAATATTCTTTTATATGAACCGTTTTGAAAATGAGAATGCACTTGTATAATAATGAAATCAGATGAAACTTTAAAAATAAAGTAGGACAGAAGAAAAAGAAAAGAGAAAAAACGTTTCAGACAAGGTCTCACTCTGCAGCCCAGGCTGGCCTCAGGCTCATGACCTCCCTGCCTCAGCCTCCTGACTTCTAGGAGTAGACATGTGCCACCACACCTGGCTTGAGATTTTTTTTAAAGAAAAAGTTTTTTGTTTTTTTTTTAAAGAGCCAAAAGGACCTAGGTTTGGCTCCCGGCTCTGCTATCTGTGGAACTCGGAGCAGGTGACTAGAATTCTCCGTTTTCTCCTGCAAACTCTGATGCTAATGTTACTGTGGGACCAAAGGCATCGCTGTCTCTGTGGCGGTGGACTCATGAGAGCACGCGTGAATCCTCAGGAGTGCTCAGGAGCACTGCATCAGCAGCCTTCTGCCCCCCTGCTCCTCAGGCCCCAGCCGTCCCCACCCTACCTCCTGATGTCACTCTCCTTCCTCCTACCGTCCCCCTGGATGGCTAGAGCCTCAACCCAAACCTCTGCCCTCTGCGACATGCTAACCTCAACGATCTGTCAGGACGGACCAGAGGGTGGTCCCGCTCAGTGGCCTCCTCCACAGCCTGGGAGAGGGCGCAGAGCCCTGAGAGCTGCAGGTTCGTGTCCAGGCTGGAGAGCTGCACAGTGGCCAGGACCGCTAACACATGCTGATCCAGGGAGCCGCGTGGACCAGGACCCCGCAAGGTTCTGGCCATCTCTGTAATCAGTGAGGGAAAGGCAGCAGCTAAAACAATTGGAAGTGTCTGAAGTCAGACCCAGTTACGCCATCCATGGTGTTCACTACTGTGGCTTTTCAAACAGTACATGAATGGTCTAGTTCCACCATCGAGATGGAGAGGCTGCGAAGGAAACCGAAAACACTGAAGGAAGGGGCAGCTATCAGTCAGTCATACTCTGTTCCTGGGGAGACACGAGGTGCTCGAGGCTTGTCCGCCATGAAAGGGCCTCCTTTCCTCCGTGTTTTCCGCCACTCTCCCCACCTCTACCTGGGCAATGCATGTCTTGTTCTCAAGTCCTCACCCTCCCCTCCCGGAACCCAACTTACCAGCAGCTGCCTCCTGTGTTTCAGGGGACAGGGCCATCCCCTCTATCACCAGAAGCTGACTGAAGAGCTGCGAGTCACTCTGTGCTTTGGGGGACTCAGTCTTCGCACTGGCAGGCTCAGCCTTTGCCTTGCAGGGCTCAGCCTCTTCCTCTGAGGAGCTGGCTGCTGACTTCGACTCCTCCTCTGGCTCTGGGGTACAGGAGGGACTCCGTGAAGAAGGCAAGCTGCTCAGTTCCTCAGGCATTAGCCCATACTTGGTGTAGATTTGGGAGTTGAGCAGGTCACAGAGGTTGCTGCCCTCGAAGCGATTACTGAGAAGCTGTAGCACCCCCTCAGCCATCTCTATGGGCACAGAGATCTCACCTAGGGCCTTTTCACCCAGGGCCTGTCAATACAAAGGGTGTTCGTTTCAAGGACCAACAGACACAAAGTTCCCAGGAACAGTCACGGCAAAGTCACCCCCCATCCCCTCATGTCTTCTATACACAAGACCGTCAAAGCATGCCTCTTCCACTAGCAGGACCTCCATGGGCTTCAGCCATTAGCTCCCCGCAACCCACACACAACCAAGTGACATTCCATAGTTAGAATTTCCCCTGGAGTGCCCAGCTCTAAGCCACCACATCCCTCAGCCCAGATATCTCAGGCCTCTGGTACCTTATCCAGCTTCTCATGCAGATTCTGGAAAATCGGCTGCTGCTCACACAAGTCTAACTTCTTGATGAAGAAAAGTAACTCCCACCACTCGGCCTGGGTCAGGTACCCTGACTCCTCACCCTTCTGGGGCTCGGGCTGGAGATATGGCAGTGGGTACAGACCATACGCAGGCCTCCAGTCCCAGGAGGGAAATGCTGAGGATATACAAATAGTCAATTTCTGAACCTTTGGGGCAGGCCCCACTCAGAAATGGCTCAGTGCTAGACAGTACCCCTTGGTTCTAAAACATGCTCCCCACATCCTCTCTGGCTTACCTGTGCCCAGTACGGTAGCCCCTTCTCTCTTCTCCACAGATGCTGAAGCAGAATTGCCAGGAGCTTCCTCAGGCCCCAGGATCTCTAGCATGTGCCAGTGTACCCAGTAGGTGCGGCCAGTTGACTGCCAGAAGACCTGGCAGAAGGCAAGGGAAGAGAGGACTCAGCCTTCTGAGCTCTGGGCCTGACCACAACTGGCTAGGCCTGGACAAATCTGCATATAGCTAAAGGCTTCTGGCCAATATGGGGAGGGAGTGGGCCCCGCCTTTCTTCCTAACCCTCATGGCCTCTACTCCCACACTCCTTAGCATCCTCCCCTACTGATACTGACGGCAAAGGGGTCATCCCAGTATATCACTTCTGCTTCCTGGGCACGAGTCCCTGTGACCTCACAGGCTACCTACTCCACCAAATTTCCTCTGCCCTCTAAAATAGAACTCTCTCGTATACTGATTCTCTCTCTCTCTCTCTTTTTAAATAACCACTCCATGTCTGAGGGTTTTCTCTTTTTGTTATTATTATTGTTGTTATTATTATTTAGACAGGTCTCTCTATGTATCCTGGCTGTCCAGGACTTGCCAGGTAGTCCAGGCTGGCCGCAAAACTACAGAGATCTGCCTGCTCCTGCCTCTTGAGTGCTGGGCTTAAAGTCATGCCACCATGCCTGGCCCTCCTTTATTTCTTTTTGTTGTTGAAACAGGGTCTCATGTAGCCAAGGCTAGCCTCCAGCTTGCTATGTAGCCAAGGATGAATTTGAAAATCCAATCCTCCTGTCTCCACCTCTCCTGTGCTGAGATCACAAGCATGTAACCATTCCCAATTTCATATGGTGCTGGGGATCACACCCCGGACCTCATCTATGCTAGGCAAGTACTCCTCAACTGAGTTATATCCTCAGGCTATGTCTGGGGCTTCAGCCACCTCCCCACCTCCAATACCACAGAAGAGATCCTTTATTGTCCTACCACTGTGTGACCCCCACCTGCACGGGGGGCACCCCGTTGTTGCTCCGCTGGAACTCGCCCTCGTCCCCAGCACTGATCTCCTCATAGTCATCGAGGATCCGAACTCGCATGCCGGGCTGCACGGTCTGCTGAACATATTCACCATAGCCGCTACGGCTAGAAAACTCGGAACGGTGGCGGAAGACCCGCCCTTGCTTCCTGGGAGTAGTGACAGCGGTGGGCACCAACAGCGGAAGGCCTGAGATGCAGGGCTGAAAGATGGACCGGGCTGGCCGGGGTGGTAAAGTGCCCTGTTCACTCAGGTTCCGGGCCCAGCCCATGCTCCGCACCAGCTCTGAAATGAGGTTGCCCACCGCCATACTGAACTCCAGCTCCCGCTGTCCCCGGCTCTTCTCCTTTGTGAGACACGGAGAGCTGCGGTCTCCAGCTCCGGGCTCCGGACTCTCATTCAGCTGGTCCAGCAGGGAGGTGACACACAGGTAACGCTTCACCAGGGAGAAGAGCAGCTTTCCAGGGATCTGCAAGACACAGCCCGTGCTTTGAGCTCATCGCCGGCTTTGTCATCTCCCTTGCCCCTCGGTATCCTCCTGGATGGACGAGCGAGGAAGTGCGTTCCTTGGCCCGTAGTTCTCAGATCGATATGTCTAAGAAACACCAAAGAATTTGCTTTTTAAACAATGATTTCTGTGCACGGTACTTTGCCTGGATGTGTGTCTGTGCAGGACGCGTGTGTCTAGTGCCCGTGGAGGCACGAAGAGAGCAAACATATCTCTTGAAACTGGAGTCACAGATGGCTGTGAGCCACCATGTGGGTGCTGGGAACTGAACCTGGGTCCTCTGGAAGAGCAGCAGGTGCTCTTAACCACAGAACCATCTCTCCAGCCCACAAAGTAATTATCTGAAAACACAGACTCTTGTGTCTGCTTTTGTGTATATTTGTGTGTACACGTGCAGTGTGCACACAAGCGAGGTGGCCCGAGGTTGACATCAGGTGTCTTCCTGGTCACTTTCCACCTTACGTATCAAGACAAAGCCTCTCACTGCACCTAGAGCCCCGCTGTAGCTGAGCTAACTTGCCTAGAGGATCCCCTGTCCCTTTCTCCTGCAGGCTGGACTGGAGGCAGGCTGCCACAAACCACCGAGTTTCCTGTGGGTTCTGAGGATCCAAACTCTGGTCAGCATGCTTCTAAGGCAAGAGCTTTACCTGCTGAGCCATGTTCCCGGATTCCACTCTTAGTTTCTGGTATTAGAAATTCTAAATGGCAGAGGTTGAGAAGGGGTCATGAGCCTTTACTTTGATTAGGCCTCCAGGTTGCTCCCAGTCCTGAGTCACAGCCTGAGAAATAGTGCTATGTGCCCAGCATTCCTGGACTGCGGCAGAGTACCTGAGGAAGGTGGACGCCCTCGAAGGCCATGCAGTGCTCTTCAGTGGAGGTGGTCTCTGCAAACAGCTCCAGTAAGGTGCAGCGGCTGTCAAAGTCCATGTGCTGCTCCATGCCGTCTTGCTGGCCCAGTGACAGGAGGACGTGAGCCCGACTCCCTGCAAGCCACACCCAGTCCGTCTTCTCAGTCCTCAGTGCTTTCCCTGCCTGTCCTAGGCTTTCTCCTCCCTAGAGGCTTTTAAACCTCTTTGTGAGTGAGACCCAAGGCAAGAAAGACACTTTACATGTCACTGAGCACAAACACATACACACAGAACCGAAACATAACACCACGCTATTAAAATTACTAAATTCTGTGTACACACACACACACAAACACACACACACACACACACACACACACACAGAGTTCATTTGTTTTGTTTTGGTTTTTTCAAGACAAGGTCTCACTAGATAGCCCTTGCTGTCCTGGATCTCTCATCAGACTAGGCTGGTCTTGAACTCATAGAGATCCACCTGCCTCTTCCTCCCAAGTGCTAAGATTAAAGACATGCGCCACTACACACAACTGTGTGCAGCTATTTTAATCTTTTTAAGTTGGCTGTAACTCTCCCCACACTGATTTCACAACCAATGAATCATCTCAAACACTCAACAATGCAGGTCTCCCTGCTTTACTCTCTGCACACACAGAGTGACAGATAAACTGTGTCTTTTTGTCCTGTGGGTACCCTTCACTATGTTTCTTTTGCCTTGAGTCGCTACTTATTAGCAATGGTTGGGAACTCTCTGCCAACTCCTCCTCACTCCTTGTGACCCCACTCTCTCTCACACACACACACACACACACACACACACACACACACACACACCCACACACACACACACACACGGCGCTCTCTTACCGGCGTCATGGGCCGCCAGGGCCTGCAGCATCTTGCCTGCGCTCCGGCGGATCTGAGGCTCCGGATTGCACAGCATGTGCATGAGCAGATCCAGGGCTCCGGTCTCCCTGAAGACTCCGGTGAGGGGCCCAATGCTCGCATAGGCGCTGAGCACGTGGATGGTGTGAAGCACAGCGGCCGTCAGGCTCGAGGTCCCGCCCTCGGCCAGCTGCCTGGCGGCCCTGCGCACCAGTGCCCGCACGTCAGCCTCCATCTCCGCCATTGCCAACTCATCCAGGCCGCCTGGATCCCGGGGGAAGCTTCCTAACTCTCCAGCAGGTTCGTACTGAGGCCCTTTAGATAATGTTTGCTCCCGCAGCAGCATGGGGCAGTTGGCACAGACCTCTGGAGCTGAGAGCCACATGAGGAGGTGCTCGGTCTTGTCTTCCTCTACGTTCACTTTGCCCTCTTCCCCACACTTGAGGACACTCCATCGGATCAGGTATTCAGGATGTCCGTCATGTCCAGGTCTCTGTCGAATGAGTTCTTCAGGGTACGCCTGCAGCCGGGGCCCCAAGGGGACCATGAGGTCCCCTGCTCGTCGATCCCCTACCATCCTGACCTCCTGGAATATACAGGAGAGAGACAGGCAGTATGTGAAAGAGGAAACGACTACGTAGAGCGTGATGGAATCTTGTAGCAAAACAGGATGGTGGTGATTGGTGGGTTGTGTGATAAGGTTTCGAACACACAGGCAGAAAAGACAAAGTATATGACGGGATAAGCAAGGGGTTATATTTATATAAGAGAGGAATGTAGGGAAAGAGCAAGGAGATGAAATGAAAGCGTTCAGGGATGGAAGAGGGCTGGGACTATAGCTCCAAAGCAGTGTGCCTGCCTAGTGTGTGAGGGGCCCTGAGC